AGGGGACACTCACGCCATAGTAGTCCTGTTTCCTTGGTCCATAATAACTATGGTTGGCTGTGCTTATGGTCCCCAAGTCAAGGTGTGGTGCTTTCTGAGTACTCACAGTCTGTGCCATGTTGTAATTGTATTTTCCTGCACTAGTAAATACTTCAACCCAGAAGATTCTAAGATCATAAAAATAAACAAAGATAAAGATAAAAGCCCTGAATACTTCAAAAAACTTACAGTTAACAAAATGTCCATTTACTGGGTAAATAGTAAGAAGAACTCATCTGTTTTATCTATTTCTATCTGATGATCTTTCAATCAAAAGATAAACTTTTCCTTCCACTTACTACGTTTTTAAACAAACATAGTAATGGACAAAAGTAATGCAAGAGTCCATGTCATAGAAGATTAACATAGGCTATAAACTAGTGGTACCTCTGCCTTTTTTTTTCTCCTTTTTTAATGACAGCAGATTTTATTATGTTCCCATGTGTCACATTGCTTAACGTCAATAGCTTGCTTCTGGTTGAGATGTTTGGTTTTTTTTCTTGCAGCGAGTGAAAATAAAACCCAAGCCATGTGTTTGGTGAGAACAGCAGGATGTGGGGAAGAGAGCTACTCTGTGCATTTAAATGTCAGGCACATTGGGCTAAGAAAATATATTGGTCTTGCAGTGTGTTGTTGATTAAAGATGCCATTATGTGGTCTTCCAAAGCCCTTCTGCTATGGTTCTTATGTGAAAGTAGGGTACATGTGGAACTTTTTCCAATCGCACATATCATACTCCTGCCCAAAGTTTCTGGCGCATGGTTTGAGAAGGATGTTTTAGGCATTAAAGACAGACACAGGTTATATGAAAAAGCTGTGAGTAATTCTGGTATCCCTTCCTGTCTTGTCTTATTCTTAATTGAAAACTAACGGTCTGCTGTAAAATGGAATTTCCACAGCAAGGTTTCTTGGTATTAAACAAAAGAGTGTTTTATGACATCTTGCATGTTGAGAATTAGAGTACCTTTCAAGTCTTACTTATTTGGTTTTATCTTATATTCCTAATAGTCATTCTCACTACAGTTCTGTATTACCTATTGACCTTGTAGCCATATGATGACCTAGCTGGGTAAGTGTAGTAAACATATTCATACAATCATTGGTGATACATTGTCTATTCATATATTTAGGAAATGTATGCTGAAAAACCCCCTGTTTTGCTGCAATGGTTCTTATTTCTTCCAGTCAATTTTATCATCTTCCTTCATGCACTAGGTCCATGACTGGTTTTACTAATCTTGTTTCTTTGAGTGGATTATGTTTAAGATTTCTAAATCATTTACTGTTATTTTTTAAAGGCCAGGTCTGGTCTGATATTTTTTCCTGAAACTTCTCTCAATTACTTTTACACATGTAGGTGTCTCTCTCTGCTCTGAATTCTCCAGGATTTATTGTTTTCATCTCACATATAACATTTAATTATTTACTAGTTTGTGTTGCCTTCCAACTGTTCCCTGTTTGTGTTCTATATTTTCGATAATCTTTTAAGCTCCTTGAGAACAGATAAAATATTGTTTATTGCTTTTATAAACTTAGTAGCACTTAACATACTATTCAATACATAGAAATATCCCAATATTGGTTAGTTAAACTAAATTGAGCTTTTTCTTGAGATTTTGATTTTACAATAATGTTCTCATTGAAATTATCCAACAACTAGCTAGAAGAGCATCAGCCTCAAAAAGAAAAATTAAATATCAATAAGTCAGCATCATTATATCATTATGTTTCATTGAATAATGTTAATTGCATGCTAGAATGTTTATAGCAGCATAATTCACAATTGCAAAGATGTGGAAACAACACAAGTGCCCATGAATACATGAGTGGATTAATAAAATGTATATGTATACCATGGAGTTCTACTCAGCCACAAAAAAAATGTGATCTAGCACCTCTTGTATTAAACTGGATAAAGCTGAAGCCCATTCTACTAAGTGAAGTATCACAAGAATGGAAAAACAAGCACCGCATGTATTCACCATCAAATTAGTATTAACTGATCAACACTATGTGCACATAGTAGTAACATTCATTGGGTGTTTGGCAGGAGGGAGGATGGGGTGAGTATATCCACACCTAATGGGTGCAGTGCGACCCGTCTGGGGGATGGACATGTTTGAAGTTCTGACTCGGGTGGGGCAAAGCAATATATGTAACCTAAACATTCGTGCCCCTGTAAGATGCTGAAATAAAAAAAAAAAAAAGAAAAGAAAACTTTTCATCACCACTCCCCCCTCTCCCACCCAGTAATGTTAAGTACCTAGGCATGCATGGAATTAGATGAGGCATAAATTACTCAAAAGACAGAATTTCTTTCTGAGAATTGGCCTCACAAACAAAACAAAACAACGAAATTCCCCCAAATCCGAGAATTTCTGTCTTCTAAAAAAAGTACATTTATATCAACATTACACCTAATAAGCCTAACTCCCTTTTTGAAGGGGCAAAATTCATAATAAGTTATGTTATTTTCCTATATAACAGTTGTAGAAAGTCATATAATGATCTTGTTGGGCAAGTGCAGTAAACATATTTATGCAATCATTTATGCATATATTTTAGGAAATGCATGCTGAAAAATCCTTAATAGAAACTACTGATTTATGAAAGTAAGCATAAAATAAATAGAGCAGAAGGAAGGCCTGGAAACACAAATTAAGTCTGGCTTGTAAAATATTTACAAATTTATTATTACAAGGTCACATTTATTGATTGGAAAACAAATGTTTTTCTTTCTTTTATTGCAAGAATGACAAGGTTTACTGTTAAATTTATAACAATATCACTTCCTTCCAATATCAATTACTTGAATATGATTAGCATCCAATATTATTTTCTGTGTTGTAACTCAAATATTCAATCTGTAGTTAGATGTTTGAGAACACATGGGATGATGAGAATATGGTTGAGTCATTCTTTTTAATACCAGTCACTCATAAAATTAAAGTGTAAAAGACAACTTGATCATCTTCCATCTCTACCCTTGCCTCTGGGCACAGTCATGAATATTGGTTTTTAGAACAAAAGGTTATTGCCTGCTTCAATTATTTATGATGTTGAAAGTTTTCCAACTTGTCTTCTCAGTATTGTCAAGAAAGGGAGACTGTTTTATCTCTATACTGAAATGTATTTTTCAAGAGCAAGAGGTAAATAAAAAGGCAAGTAATTAAGAGAAATCACCATGGTTTCTTAGAGGAAGTCTGTCAGGTGTTTACAATTTTTACTGTGCTTTGGGACATTTATTTTTTTCCTAATTAGATTTCAGAATGGTCCCAATTGTTTCAATCACTTAAAGTAGACAAATTCCTTAATAGTAACAACTTCTTTTCCCTTTCACTCTAATTTCCCCCCTTATGTATTAGAAATAATTTTAAGCTTCTGTTTTGTTCCTGTTCTCCCTCTCAGTACTTTTATTTCCAATGTATTTTCTTAGTGTAGCCATCTCTCATTAGTCTTTGGAGAGCTAATCAAGGATTAATCAATCTTCCTCCTTGAGTCAGACTTAGCTACTTTACTCTCCTTCTGTGTCCTGTGCAAAAAGTATGAATAATATTGTTCTAGGGAAGACTTAAGGGTGAATTTACTAACTATTTTGGGTTCAAGGACCTCTTTGAGAACATAACAAATGTTATAGCTCCTCTCCGTTTTCAAGATACACAGAAATTTTTTGATATACTCTTTCATATACTGTATGACTCTCATACTTCCCAACTATGTCATTGACCCCAGGTTAGGAAGCCCCATGTACTATGATCCAGCAATACCACTAGTAGATATGTATCCAAAGGAAATGAAATCATTGTGTTGAAGAGATATCTGCTTTTCCATGTTTATTGCAACACTATTCATAGTAGCAAAGATATGTAGTAAACCTAAGTGTCCCTCACTGATGAATGGATAAAGAAAATGTGGTGTACAAACACAGTGGAATACCATTCAGCCTTAAAAAGATGGAAACCCTGTCATTTGGGACAACATAGATGAAACTGGAGAATCTAGTATTAATAGAAGAACATTATAGTAAGTGAAATAAACCAGTCACAGAAAGGCAAATAGCACATGATATCACTTATAGGTGGAATCTAAAAAAGTTGAACTCCTATAAGTAGAGAGTAAAATGGTAGTTACCAGGGACTGAAGGAAGAAGGAGTCAGGGAGATGTTGGTCAAAGGATACAAAATTTCAGTTAGATAGAAGGAATAAGTTCAAGATATTTATTGCATACATGGTGACTATAGTTAATAACAATGTATTATATTCTTAAAAATTGCTAAGAGTAGATTTTAAGTGTTCTCATCACAAAAAAATAAGTATGTGAAGTAGTACATATATTAATTAGCTCAATTTAGCCATTCCACAATGTATACATATTCCAAAACAAAATTTGGTACACAATAAATATATATAATTTTTATTTGTCAATTAAAAATAAATAAATATTAAAAAACAAAACAAAACAAAGTTCCATGTGGCCTTTGGCTGTGAAGGGCTCTATTTTTTTCCTGGTAGGTTTGACTCTAACATGGCCATGTGGACATTAGGTGGCCAGGTGGTTAAAGAAAGCAGGAAGAAAAAATTCCATGTCAATATCTTTGTGCTTGTGATGGAACAGAAGCAGCTTCTAGGGAATGGGGTAGATTAGTCACTCAAAACAGTTTTCATGTATTTATTTTTTTAGTGTGGATTTCAGTGACAACAAAGACTCTCAAGATCATATACCTGTTCCACAGTAGCACTCTGTAGCAAACATCTGCTTTAGACATATAAAAGCTTAAATCTCACTGACATTAATGTGGTAAATGAGAATAAAAGTGCTATGATGTTCAGTTTATATTAAATATCATGGAAAAATTATTGACTCATGACAAAAACTAATACATGGTCTTGACATATAAGTATTTATTCATATAATAAAATTAATTCGTGGTTTATTTGGATTTTGGGAAATTCCCTTTCAGAGGGCAGTCATTGGAAAGTGGACTCAGAAGTTCTTTCAACGTATGAGCCTTTCATCTGAGAGAACATGACTGTGAAGAAAGAGCACTGGATGAGGAGTCAGGAGGTGTGTGTTGAATCTAACTGACTGGCGCTATCAACACAGGGTGACCGACTTGTTCCAGTTTGCCCAGGACATCCCTAATTTTAGTATTGGTAACTCCCTTCCTCCTTCCCACTGGGTACCCTTTCTCCATCCTACTATTTCCCAGTCCTTGACAAATCAGGGTAGTGGGTCAGCAATTAGGTGCAGATTTTGAATCAGTTGCCCAATTTCCCAGGGCTTCAGTTTCCTCCCGTGCAAAGTGAAGAGGATGGATTAAATATCTATGGATCCTTGCAGGTCTAACATATGATTCCATCTGAAAGTCATTATCTTTCCTTTTCATTAATTTGGCTGCTTTCTTCATTAGATACCCATGAAAATCTTGAAGATTAATTCCTCCTTATCTTTGTATTTTATTCTTTTAATTTATGTCATATCAGTTCAGCACAAGGCTTAATTTCCTTCAGTGAACCACACATAACTCTCACAGATTGGCGATCAAGATAAAGAATTAAGTTAGCATGCTTGTAGAAAATGTAATGGGATCTATTATTCACTACAATCTAGGCAATCTGCTAGTGCAAACTCCAAAATTGCCCATATATTCTGAATTGAAAGACTAGGAGGCAGAGCTGCAAAGAGAAGCTTTCACAGGCAGCAGAGAACCAGGTAGGTTTCTAATGTTTGGTATTAAGGTTTTCTTTTAAGTTTCATTGAGATGTAATTCCAGGATCTATAATTTACCAATTTAAAGTGTAGAATTCAATGGGGTTTTTTTGTGTGTATTCAAGGATATGTGCAACCCTTATCATAGTCAATTTAAAAATATTTCTATTACTTCAAAAATAAATCTTGTATCTCTAAGGTATTACCTTCCTATTCTTCGGTCCTCCCATACTGTTGGCCTTAAGTAACCACTAACATTTTTCTCTATAGGGTTGCTTATTCTGGACACTTCATATAAATACAATTATAATATATGGTCCTTTGTGACTTCTTCTATTTAGCAGAATGTTTTCAAGGTTTATTCACCTTGTAACATGTATAAGTACTTTATCTTTTTATGTCTGAATGATATTCCATTGTATGGATATCCATATTTGTTTATCCGTTCATCAGTTGAAGAATATTTTTGGATATTAAGAATAATGCTTCCATAAACATTCACATACAAGTTTTTGTGTGGACATATGCTTTCATTTCTCTTGGGTATATCCTTAAGAATGGAATTCTGGGTTATGTGGTAACTCTATGTTTAACCATTTGAGGAACACCCTTACTGTTTTCCAAAGTGGCTGCACCAATTTACATTCCCATATTCTCATACATGTACAAAGGTTTAAATTTCTTCACATCTTTACCAACACTTTTTTTTTTTTTATCAAACTTTTTAATATTAGCCATCCTGGTAGGTGTGAAGTGGTATCTCATTGTGTTTTTGATTTGCATTTCCCTAATAACTAATAATGTTAATAATTTTTCATGTGCTTATTGGTCATTTATATATCTTCTTTAGAGAAATACCAATTCAGATTCTATGCTCATTTTTAAATTGGTTAATTTATCTTTTATTATTAAGTTGTAAGAGTTCTTTATGTGTTGTATTGTAGATAAATCTCTGTGATTTTTGAAAATTTTCACCCATTTTATGGCTCATTTTCTTGAGAGTATCCTTGTTTCTGATCTTAGGGGGAAAGCACCCAGTCTTTTATCATTAAGTATGATGCTAGCTGTGGGTTTTTGATAGACACCTTTATCAGGTCAAGGAATTTTCCTTATATTCCTAGTTCATCATTAGTGTTTTCATCATTCAAGAGTGCTAGATTGTGTCAAATGCTTTTTCTGCATCTATAAGATCATTTTGTTTGTTTGTTTTTTTTATTCTCTTGGTAAGATACATTACTTGATTTTCAGATGTTAAATCGATCTTGGATTTCTCAATGAAACCCACTTGACCACAATACAATTTGTATTCTATGTTTCTACATTTAGTTTGCTATTTTGTTGAGGATTTTTTAATCCATATTTATAAGCAATATTGGCCTGTAGTTTTCTTTTCTTGTGATGTCTTTGTCTGGCTTTGATATCTGGATTATAATGTCCTCATAAAAAGAGTTGGGAAGTGTTTCCTTCTCATCTATTTTTTGAAAAGTTTGTGGAGAATTGGTATAAATTCATTGTTAAACATTTGGCAATGTTTGGCAAATGTTTGATAAAGCCATCTGGGCCTGAGATTTTTCTTTGTGGATAGTGTTTGATTATAAACTCAATCTCTTGGCTTGCTACAGATCTATTCATATTGTATATTTCTTCTTAAGTCAGTTTTGCTAGCTTATGTTTTTCTAGAAACTTGTCCATTTTATCTTGATTATCTAATTTATTGGCATACAATTTTTTACAGTATTTCTTTATTATCTTTTTTATTTCTGTAAGGTTATTAATAATGTCTCCTCTGTCATTTCTGATTCTTGTAATTTGCGTATTCTTTCTTTTTTCTTGGTCAATCTAGTTAAAAATTTTTCAGTTTTGTAAATTTTTAAAGTGCCAGCTTTTAGTTTCATTGTTTTTCTTTTTTTTTTAATTCTCTATTTGATTATTTCCACACTAATTTTTAGTATTTACTTCCTTCTTCCTGCTTTATGTTTAGTTTGTTCTTTTTTTTTCTACTGTCTTAAGGTTGGCTGAAGATTAGGCTATTGATTTGAGATTTTTTTTCTTTTTTAATACAGGCATTTACAACTATAGATTCTTCTCTAAGAACTTCGTTAGCTGAATTCTATGTGTTTTGGTGTCTTATATCTTAATTTTTACTCATCTCAAAATATTTTCTAATTTCCATTTTGATTTTTTCTTTGACCCATTGTTGAGAAGCATGTTGTTTAATTTCCACATATTTTCAAGAAAATAAATTTTCTAAATTTCTTTCGGTTATTAATTCCTAATTTCATTCTATTGTGGTCAGAGAACATACTTTGTTTGATTTCAAGCCTCTAAAATGTAACAAGATTTGTTTTATGGCCTAACATATATTCTTTTTTAGAGAATATTCCATATGCACGTTAGACGAATACAGATTCTGCCTAATTGTTTGGTGGAGTGTTTTATAGATGTCTGTTATGTCTTGTTGGTTTATAGTATTATTGAAGTCATCTATTTCTTTGTTGATCCTCTGCCTATTTTTTCTATCCATTATTGAAAGTGGGGTGTGGAAGTGTACAACTATTGTTGTTGTGATATTGAATTTTTAATTTGGAGTGGCAAGTTCAGTCTTTTTATTTTTAGAGTTAGAACATATATCAAGCTATCAGTTCTATCTTTATTGTACATCTTCAGCTAGAGAAATCTTTCATTTTGGCTATTCTTAATTCACTTTTAAGGCACATTTGCAAATTTAGTCATCATGATAAAGTAAATAACCTAAAGCTTTTTGCATATGTTTGCCTAGGATTTATTCACACGGACAGAGATTTCTTCTCACAGAAAGATCACTGTTAAATAGAAATGTGAGAAGCATCTTTATCACAAAAAGATGATTAAATGGGTGATAGTATGGTTTTCTCCCAAATCCAAAGATAGGAGGTGAGAATAGAAGTATCTCTTAGACATTGGAATAATTATCACTCAAGGAGAAGGCTTCAGTTCATTAAATTAAATCCTTAAAATGTGAAAATATTGATTATCCTATTCATCTCCTGCCTCTCACCAATAGGAACAAATGATAGGGACAGCCAATTTCTATATTTTGTGTTTTGAGTTAGAATATTTTTTTATTCCTTCTGTAGTTATAGACTAATTACAGGAAAATATACTTAGTTTTTTTGTTTTGTTTTTTTTCAAATTAGAACAGGTCAGATTATTTAAGTTCCTCTCTTTTACCTTTAATTTGTAAGATTAGTTTGTACTAAATGTTTGTGGTTGGGCACACTCACATTCCTAAGCAATCTATTATCTTTGATGACATTTCCTAATTCCCCTCTCTCTTAAAGAAGTGATGTATGGAATTAGGGGCTGGAGTTAAAATATGAGGTGAATCGATCATCTTTTGACTGTGAATAAGCTGGTTAGGCAATTTGATGTTCTAGCTCATGGAATTAATAGAATCGGTTATCTTACTGAGTCTTTAAAATGTAGATGTTTAAAAGACTTGTTTAGATATTCTTATAGTAGGTGGCTTGTGAATATGAAAAAATAAAACAAAAAAGCATAACCATATTTCTGGGTTCAAATGAACATCATGTTTTCCTAACAGTAAACTTGAAATGTGATACAATGCTGCCATTGCTAAATTCTGGGATTACTGTTTTGGTATTATCTTCTAAAGTGAATTTCTGGGGAAATCACTCATATTACTGGTGATTATGCCTTGTTCTCGAACCCAAACCAAATCAGTCAAGTTATATTATTTATTGGACCTATATCTGAAGAATTTGGGATATTTCTAAAATAAAATATATGCCCCATTATCAGATTAAAGATAATCAGTTATCCTTTATCATAGTTCATACTGAATTAATATAGGGAGCCTGAATAGATGAAGGTTCATTTCAATATTCCAAGGAGCACTTGCAAGCAGGGGCATGTGGAGAGCTGAATCATTATGCAGAATTTTTAAAACAATATTCTTTCCAACCACATTTATTATAAACATAGAATGTGCCAGCTATAGTGGGCATTATAGGCTGGCCAAGGAACCTATCCACCATTCATAACACTGCTTCTATGGCACTTTGTATCCAGGTTCTACATACTTTTAAAACACAATTAACTAAAAAACTTGAGGCTGCCTGCACTTTGAGTTCCTGCCAGATTCAATGTTTAACTTTTGTGGCCACAAATCTCATAAAACAACAAGGCTTTCTTGAAGCCCTTTCATAGTTTCTATTACTGTGCATACAATGTATTTCAAAACAGTTCAGATATTAGAGATGAAGTCAGTAGCACCACAGGGGAGGAGGATTCATGCCATGATAGCAAACAGATAGCAGCACATTTTTATCATATGATGTTTTGGGCTTCTCAGACTACAGATATTATTTGATGTTCTATTACTTTATGTTGTTCCTTGGGGACCCCCAAGGATTAAGGCAGAGTTTCTCTCGTCAAAGATCCAAAGCTAGGTGAACTTATCTTGGGAACTAGTGCTGGGGACCAAAAAGTAGATGTCATACTGATTAGTTATTGGTTATTGCATTCTGTGTAGAACACAGATGTAAAGGTTATGACAGTTGAAATTTTATCAACAACAAAACTAATATTTGTTTCTTATGTCCAATTTGTTGTGCTTTCATAATTATAGCAACCTTCAAATAAACAGGGTTGGGTATGAAATACCTGCAAGGGGATGGGAAGAGACAGTGGTGACATATACCTTGCTGTTGCACAAGCATGACTTCCCTGTCCAGCTCTGCCTCCAGTCTGTCCTTGTTATGTCACCTTTATGTTTCTAGCATCTTGTTGGTGATAGCAAGTGTGGCTGGGTGTGAATTGAGATTTTTTTGCTCTAAACTTTGTTAAGATCTACCTGGGTACCAGAAGCAGAGGAAATTTGGTCTCTGGAAGGAGGTGATGTGGTTGGAAATACATGAGATGGGTATTAACAACATCTAGTTTCTTTTCTACTAGGCATCCCAGCTCTTTCTTACAAGCTATTCTTTTTCTAAGACATCTTT